CTTTAGACATGTTAGGATGTTCACATTAGTTAAAATAAGTGTACATTGGGTCTAGTTGCATATTTTCACCCTTTAAGCACACTTTTTAGGTTCTAAATACTCAAACTTTGAGTTTGAGGTAATTCTTTGCTTTTGACAAGTTTCCTAGCTTCATTCCACTAGTTTAGACATGTTAGGATGTTCACATTACTTAAAATAAGTGTACATTAGGTCAGGTTGCAAATTCTCACCTTTTAAGTACACTTTTTTAGGTTCCAACTACTCAAATTTTGAGTTGTACCTAATTCTTTGCTTTTGAATACTTTTCTAGGTTCATTTCACTACTTTAGACATGTTAGGATGTTCACATTAGTTAAAATAAGTGTACATTGGGTCTAGTTGCATATTTTCACCCTTTAAGCACACTTTTTAGGTTCTAAATACTCAAACTTTGAGTTTGAGGTAATTCTTTGCTTTTGACAAGTTTCCTAGCTTCATTCCACTAGTTTAGACATGTTAGGATGTTCACATTACTTCAAATANCATAATACAAAGGTAAATCTTTTCTTGCTTTCTCATTATCTTTTGTCTTATCAATAACATTCATAACTGTGTTGAAGACATTGTCAAATAAATTTTTTTCTATGTGCATGACATCGAGGTTATGTCTTAGCAAGTTATCTTTCCAATAGGGAAGATCCCAAAATATGCTTCTTTTAGTCCAATTATGCCATTCTCCAAACCCTTCTATCCTATTTTGACCACATTCAGTGACTTTTGGCAAGTATTTCACTCTTCTCTAAACGTGTGATCCAAACAACTTCAGCGGGGACATATCTGTTTCAACTTGCCCTTTACGAAATGCCTTTTTGTTTCTTCTAAAGGGGTGATCAATGGGCAAGAACCGTCGATGATAGTCAAACCAACTACTTTTTCGACCATAACTCAATTGGAATGACTTTGTATTTTCCATGCAATGTGGACAAGATAATCGATCATGCTTGCCCTCATAAGGAAATTTTGCTCCAACCAGATAACATGTCATAGGCTGGAAAGTCATTAATAGTCCACATCAAAGCTGCCCTCATAAGGAAATTTTGCTTCCTTGAAACATCATACGTCCAAACACCATTCCATAACTTCTTCAAATCATCAATTAAAGGCTCTAAATAAACATCAATCGCAGATTTGGGATTAGATGGACCTGGTATTATACACGTTAAAAACATGTAAGGCTTTGTCATACACATCTTAGGTGGTAGATTGTATGAGGTAACTATTATCGATCAGCAGGAATATGGTGATGTAGATGCCTGAATGTACGGCGTAAACCCATCAGAGCATAGACCAAGTCTAACGTTACGCGGTTTACTAGCAAAGGATGAATGTTTACGATTGAAGTGCTTCCAAGCTTCACCACCAGAAGGATGACACAAAAATCCTTCAGTTAGGTTACCATCATGCCATGTCATGTGTTCTGATGTTTGCATTGAAGTAAACAATCTTTGTAATCTTGGAATTATAGGCAAGTAGAACATGGACTTTAAAGGAATTGGTTTTTTTTGCCTCCGTCCAGCATGCATCGTATGATATCGAGGTGAGCCATAAAACTTGCATTCAACCAACAATGCATCATTTTTGCCACTGTCATTGTCATAGAATAACATACATCCATTAACACAACAATCAATATTTTTGGCTTCCAATCCCAGCTTTGACACACACATCTTTTGGCTTGATAATAATTCTTCAGCATAGAATTGTTTGGTGGTGTCAAATCTAACATCAATTTTGTATAGAAGTCCACTGCCTCTGTCAATAAATTGTAAAACCTTTGAGTGGTTTCATTTGGAGACTCTTCATCATGACTATCGTTTGCTTCTTGTTCAGCATGTCGACGAAGAGCATTGTCGACCATATCTTGCATATAGACAAATTGACCTATCTTAGATGCATGTCCAATAGTATTCGAACCTAATGCAAGCCGCTTTTCAGTTGTAGTGGAGGTGGAAGGAATTTCTTGACCATGAAATGTTCAAACCGTGTAATTAGCCAAGAACCCTCTTTGGTATAGGTGAACTTTGACGACTTCATCTTTCAAAATCCTTGTACATTCGCACTTGATGCAGGGGCATCGAATCCCTCCATCAAGAGCATAATATTGATATTGTCAAGCCGTCTCGACAAACTCTTCAACTAGCTATAAAAGTATCTAGTGACAAACCAAATTTAGTGAAGAACCAGCTACACAATCACAATCAGTAGACCAATCCTTGGTGCGGTGCAGGTTTGATAAAAAATTTCTGCAAGAAAATAAAATTGCAAGATGTTCAGCCATGGTGCAAATGCCAAACAGAAACAAAAATGAAAAAATTGGTGGTTTGACATTCAATATCACACAACAACAGCTATAGATCAAACATTACTTAAAATAAGTGTACATTAGGTCTAGTTGCAAATTCTCACCTTTTAATTGGGGTATTTATATGTTCCAACTACTCAAATTTTGAGTTGTACCTAAATCTTTGCTTTTGAATAGTTTCCTAGGTTCATTTCACTACTTTAGACATGTTAGGATGCTCACATTAGTTAAAATAACTCTACATTGGGTCTAGTTGCAAATTTTCACCCTTTAAGCACACTTTGTAGGTTATAAATACTCAAACTTTGAGTTTGAGGTAATTCTTTGCTTTTGACAAGTTTCCTAGCGTCATTCCACTAGTTTAGACATGGTAGGATGATCACATTACTTAAAATAAGTGTACATTAGGTCTGGTTGCAAATTCTCACCTTTTAAGTACACTTTTTTAGGTTCCAACTACTCAAATTTTGAGTTGTAGCTAATTATTTACTTTTGAATAGTTTCCTAGGTTCATTTCACTGCTTTAGACATATTAGGATGTTCACATTAGTTAAAATAAGTGTACATTGGGTCTAGTTTCAAATCTTCACCCTTTAAGCACACTTTTTAAGTTCTAAATACTCAAACTTTGAGTTTAAGGTAATTCTTTGCTTTTGACAAGTTTCCTAGATTCATTCCACTATTTTAGACATGGTAGGATGTTCACATTACTTAAAATAAGTGTACATTAGGTCTGGTTGCAAATTCTCACCTTTTAAGTACACTTTTTAGGTACTAAATACTCAAACTTTGAGTTTTAGGTTATTCTTTTGCTTTTCACTAGTTTCCACATTGATTTCACTAAGTTAGACTTGTTAGGATGTGTACATACCTTAGAATGAGTCTACATTAGGTGAAATGACAATATCTCACTTTATGAGTACACTTTTTAGGTACTAAATACTCAAACTTTTAGTATTTAATGACACTTTTGCTTTTTATGGGTTTTGTACAATGTTTTAATCATATATTTGCATTTGGAAACATAAACCTGCACATGCCAACCTAGAATCGAAAATTGGAGCAAACAAATTTTCAAACAACACTTGATTTGAACACTACACCAAGAAAATAATTCTAATTTGGTGGTTTTAAACCCAATATTGATTAGAAGTGATTCAGCAGCTCAATTGATGCATCAAACAAATTTGTATCATCATTTTAAAGATGTTTAAACACTGAAACAGTTTGAAAATAGATTGCAATGTGAATTCACTGGTTCACTTCCATTTTAAAGCCAATTTTGATGGTTTAAGAAATGATTATGCATATAGGCATAAAAATGACCATTTGAACAGTGCACACAAATTTAAAATGGCAAAATAAACTTTCTCAAACATTGTATATGCACAAACACAGCAAGATTCAACAAATCATACTTGCTATAGCCAAATATGCTTGAAAATGTCACCAAAATTTAGAATTCAGTGAAATGAAATGAAGACAACAGTTGCAATGACTCTAAGACATCCTAAAACACTTGATCTAACTGCAGAGAATTAGCTAGAAGAATTTTAACACCTAAGACACAAGCAAAGATATCAATCACGGTGAAAACATTGATAAAAAACAATAACAGCACCTTGTTTCAGGATTTATTTGCAACTCAACTATGTTTTTTGCACTTTAGTGATTAATACAGGTTGCTACTACTTGGAACATGTTTAATATCATTAAACAAACTGGCACATTGCTTAAGAACCAAAAAACTTCCACTGAAACATATTTATGAGATTGCACCAGATTTATTCCATTTTGTGCAGAGTTTTTGAAACAGAATCATGTTTTAACTGATGTAGCACATATAATCAAGGCTAGGCATTGTCTTATTGCCTTATATGATTTGGTGTGTTTGGTGTGATATGGGTTGTCTTTGTAAGTAAAGAAAGAGAAGTTAGTATTAGGGGAAGGTGTCACAACGTAAAAAGATGAGTGATGAAGTTAAGTTTTTTACATGGGTTTCTTGAACCTTGTCCATGTTTCATTTAATAAAAAATAAAATGAGAGAAATCTCCTGAAAAACTATAATGTGTACAATAAGAAGATATACAAGAGTAATGTGAATGTTTGATCTGGCAAAAGGCAATTCAAAATGCACCTTAAGTAAAGATTTGACAGAGACACATCAAATTAGAATTTAGTTAAATAGAAAAATTGAGGCAATTGATTACTATAACAAATTGGAGAATGACCCTATATCCATTCCAAATCTAAACAACTTTAACTTTAAGGTTTCTGACAACATTTCCCAAAATCTACTTATGCCAGCAGTTGACTTGTCAAATCACTCTTAATCTTATTTCTTCTTCTAAAAACAAAAATAGTTGTTTTAATTGCATAGAAGAGAATGTTAGCAATACACTTCAGGCTTAACTTCAACAACACTTTTAAACCATTCAATCAATATCAAACTTCATTTCTAATAAACACTTTTAAATAATTAAAAATAACATAAGCTCTGCAGCCATACAATTCAAATAATTAATGACAATTAAAAATCAGAATCAATTATCTTAGTTAGTAACCACTTTGGTTTTTTAAATTCTTTTAAAAGGAAAGCATTTTATTGATTTTATAAAACTCTTGATTCTCAAATACTTATGAAAATTTTACTTATTTTATGAAACAAGATTTTTTCTTGTTTGGAATATGCACGAAACTGGCTTGGAATGGAATTGTAGTGGTACTAAAATCAAGAAATGAAAAAAGGGGTTTGGAAGCAGTGGAAAGATTGAAAGAGTTTGGACTATCAGACTTTGTGGTTTTTCATCAACTTGATGTGACAGACCCTTCAAGTGTTACTTCCTTATCACATTTCATCAAAACAAGATTTGGAAAACTTGATATATTGGTGAGTGTTACTATCTCCTTCCCTCCTTTTCAATTTTTGATCAGAAAGCTTTCACAGTGATACACCTGAGTGTTGTAGGTGAATAATGCAGGTGTTCATGGGGGAATAATTAATGCCGAGAATTACCTTAGAAGGGTAAGGTTCCATGATATATGTATCTATACATTTCCTTGTTTTTTATGTATAATGGTACATCTTTGTTCGTCCTTGTAGAAAAGAGGTGAAATATTCGATTGGAATCTTATAGTGTATCAAAATTATGAGTTAGCCAAAGAATGTGTTGAAACAGATTTCTTTGGTGCAGAGAGAGTAACTAAAGTTCTTCTTTCTCTGGTCCAACTCTCCACTTCACCAAGGATTGTCAATATCTCTGGTCAAATAAGACTATTGAAGGTAAAGTTAAATTCAAAACATTAAATGAGTATGGTTTACTGTTAAGTGTTGCATAGTTTTGTTCACATTCTTTCTTTGAGAATGAAGGAAGCATCAATTAATTTCTGCCAAAGCACTGAAACCAGACAAGTTCTTATCACTTCTCTTCCTCTGGTTGCATAGATTTTTACTTATTGCTACATATGTCTAGTTTCACTGAATCCAAAAAAAAAAAGTCTTGTACACTAATTGCCTTTCAATATATATATATATATATATATATATATATATGAATGAAGCTTTCAATTCAGAGTATCAGATTCAGGCTATAGAGTTAGCATACATAGATTGATTGCTTCACCACCCCAATTCCTCCTATATAATGCTTCACCTGCTCAATCTTCACCTACTCGGTTGCTTTTATTTTCCCTAAACTACAGCTAAGGTTATTTTAACCTTCTCACTGGCATTCCAATGTCTTGCCCCTCATTTCAATTACAAACCAATAAACTTTCTCAATCAAACAACATCATACACGGCTACCACAAGAGCATCAACCAGATTCAAGAACAATGTAATTCATAATGAATTTTTAAAAGCACAACTCACCTCAACCAAGATAGCCCTTGATGATGGCAGCCTTTGTGGAGCACGACAGCGACAGAAGCCCACAACGGCCCCTCCAACGAAGTCCCTCGACCAAGTTCCTTCAACACAGAACAAACTTGAGATCACCAACCCTCAACGCAGAAACCAACCCACGACGAATCCTAGCCCAAGACTTCCCAAACCAGGACGCACCGTGAAGGAACCGCCAATGCTCCAATCTTCTAACCGAGAAAGAGAGGGAAGAAACTGAACGCAGCACCGACGAAGTGTGTGAAGAAAGGGACGAAGACTAAAGAAGGGGACGAAATGTGAAGAAAATGAAATTGGGGAACGAAAGCCCCAATTTGAAACTTAAATCATCGAGAAAGTTACCGAGGGCTCAAAAGCCTTCGATAATCATCTCAATACCGACGACTCAAAGGCCTTCGGTAATATACCGCCGGTAAATTGCGCTTTTCCTGTATCGAAAGCACCACCCAACTTTGCTTTCATCTCATGAATCATGCTCCTGTCACTGCTGGCAATCAGAATATCATCCACGTATAAAAAAAGATACAGAACCTCACTGTTACGATGCAAAGTATACACACAGTTATCATAATTGCACCGCTTGAAGTTCAGCTTTATCAGAAAATCATCAAATTTCTTGTACCACTGTCTTGGACTTTGCTTTAAGCCATAAAGCGACTTCTATAACAGGTAGACCCTATCATCCACAGCAAATCCCTCCGGTTGCTTCATATAAATTGTTCCTCCAGGTCTCCATGCAAAAACGTAGTCCTCACATCCAATTGTTCTATATGCAAATTGCAGTGACTAACTATCGCCATTAAAACTCTGACCGAACAGTGCTTCATGACAGGAGCAAAAATCTCATGATAATCTACACCTTCAATCTGAGTAAAGCCTTTGGCAACAAGCCTTGCTTTGTACCTTGCTTTCTCACCCCCTGGTATAACTTCCTTTTTCTTAAAGATCCATTTTGAACCTACAACCTTCTTACCCTTTGGCAGTTCCACCAATCTCCAGGTGCTATTTTCCTCAACGCCTCTAGCTCTTCCTCCATAGCACCCTGCCAAAGATGTCGATCGCTGCTATGAAGAGCCTCCTTGTAACTTCTCGGTTCACCCGAGCTTTCAAGATCTTTAGCAGCATTCAAGGCATAGCAAATTAAATATGCCTCTCCAAACTGTTTGGTTGGCTTAGAGATTCTCCTTTCCCTATCACGGATAAGCTGATAATTCCTCAATTCATCACCAGCTCCTCTTGAGTGACTCACGTCACCAGATATACCATATGTATGATCACCAAGATCTGTACGTTTTTCACCCGTTCGGTTCTCCACTAATGGCCGAACGTTTTCATCTTGCCCTTCACCCATTCGGTCTTCCTCAGTCAACGACAGAACGTCCCCATCAGTAGTATGCTCCACCTCAACGAGCGTTTTCTTCTCGCATCCAGGATTTTCAGCATCCATTGTCATTCTCGTTTCGTCAAAAATGACATCCCTACTAATGATCAACTTGGACGGTTTAGTATCTAACCTCCAAAACCTGTATCCCTTAACTCCTTCAGCATATCCCAGGAATACACTTCTCACCGCTCGGGCATCCAGCTTATCCCCTTTGACATGAGCGAACGCCAAAGAACCTAACACCCTCAAGTGTGAGTAGTCAGCCGGTCGTCCACTCCAAACTTCCATTGGTGTTTTGTAATTGAGAGCCGAAGATAGACTCCTGTTAATCAGGTATACGGCTGTATTGGCAGCCTCTCCCCAGAAAGCCTTTGACAATCTTGATCCTAGCAGCATGCATCGAACCCTCTCCAGAATTGTTATGTTCATCCTTTCAGCCAAACCATTCTGTTGAGGAGTTCCCACCATAGTCTTGTGCCTCCTGATCCCTTTACCTTGCAGAACTCATTAAATTCCTCTAAAACGAACTCCAGACCATTGTCAGTTCTCAGACATTTCAGCCTATACCCCAATTGGTTCTCGGTCTGAGTATGCCACTCCTTGAATTTCTCTAATGTTTCAGATTTATTTTTCAGAACGTAAATCCACACTCTTCTTGAAAAATCATCAATTATGCTCAAGAAATACGCTCCTCCACCATGAGTCTGAGTTCTTGCAGGCCCCCACAAGTCAGCATGGGCGTACTCAAATGGTCGTTCGGTTAAGTGCTTCCCTTGACCGAACGATATCCTGTGTGATTTTCCCAAGACACAATGATCACAAAAGTCCAGCTTCTGCATTTTATCACCCAGAAGTAAGCCATGCTTCTCCAATTCTTCAAGACCCTTCTCACTGATATGACCTATCCTCAAGTGCCAAAGCCGAACGTTGTTCTCAGTCTTCCCACTTGCTATTGAGACATGACCAATGACTGTGGATCCCTCCAAAATGTACAAGTCATTCTTCCTTCTGCCTTTGACAACCACAAAATTTCCAGAACACACCCTCATCACTCCATCCTCAACTTTCGTGGTGTAACCTCCAAGATCAAAGGAACTTATTGAAATCAAATTTCTCTTCAGTTCAGGCACATACCTCACATCCTGCAGTACCATCTCCCGGTTATCAAACATTTTCAATCTTACCGACCCCACTCCTTGGACTCGACAAGCCTTATTATTTCCCAATAGCACGTTTCCATGCTCCTTCTGATCCAGACTCTCAAAGAACTCCTTCACCGGACACATGTGATAGCTGCAGCCAAAGTCCATGACCCATCTCCTTTGAGAATCTTCAGTCAAAGCCACCAGAACACCAGCAAATTCATATCCTTCAAAAGCCTCTGCCACATCAACAGTTTCGTGTGGCCGAACGTTTTTTCCCTTCTCAAGACAATACTTCTTGATATGTCCCATCTTCTGGCATTTGAAACATCTCACCTGTTTCACACCTTCTAGCTTGGACTTCTTCCCATTTCTAGTCTGCTTCTTTCATTTCCCTTTCACCGAAATCAGCCTAGAAGCCACCTCCTCAGTTGCTTTCGGATCTTGAATCTTTTGAAACTCCTTGGTTCGAATTGACGTCACAACCTCCTCTAAGGTAATAACCTGATCCTTACCATAGAGCAAGGCATCCCTGAAATGCTCAAAGGTTCTTGGTAGCGCATTCAGAAGAATGATTGATTTATCTTCATCTTCCAACCTCACGTCAATATTTTCCAGATTATCAACAATCTTGCTGAATTCTGTAAGCTACTCCTCTATGATTCTTGATTCTGTCATCTTGAACGAATAGAGTTGTTGCTTCAAACACAACCTATAAGCCAGCGATCTCGTCATGTACAAAGATTCCAACTTTTTCCAAATTCCATCCATAGTCTTCTCCTTTATAACCTCTCTCAGTGCCTTATCACCCAGACACGGTATGATTATGCTTCTTGCTTTATCAACCATTCTTTTCTTCTCTTCTTGCGACATCGCAGCACCCATGTTCAACTCATCCTTCAACTCTTCATCGCATCCCTGCTGTATCAAGATAGCCTCCATCTTCATCTTCCACAGCCCGAAATCATTAGAACCATTGAACTTCTCAATGTCGAACTTGGTTGTCATCGCTTCTGGAGTTTCTTGTTTCACAGCCCCACGGTGGGCGTCAATTGTTGGATTCGAGTGTGAAACACAGAAACAGAAAACCCAGAAAAGAAAGAAGAGAAAACACAGAGAGAAATGATCTGAATATTTCGAGATTTAATTAATTCTGAAAAACAAAGACAAGCTACAATATATAGTCAATCCAAGCGACAGAAATAAAACTGAACGATCGTAAGCAGTAGAGGCCGAACGTAGGCCGAGTACAGCAAAGACCGAACAACACAACCAAGAGCAAACACGAATGTACATAGTCGAACGCTCACAAGAGAACGTTCGACCAGAAAAAGCCGAACGGTGATCAACAAGAAACTGAACGGTCAAAAGTAATAGAAGAGTCCAACTAACAAATGAACATCGTTTTTAAGTTCCACAAAGAATGAAGACACATCTCTTAAATTACAAGAGATGATGAAACACATTTCTTGAATTCACAAGGAATAAATACCCACTTTGAAAGATACAATTAATAACTTCTCTTATCAATAGCAACAACACTAAATTATACAAGAATTCACTTGGTGAAAGTTATTATTCTACCCACACTAAGTGTTTCATAGCCTTTTCACATATATTTATCAAGTACTTGAACTTCTCTAACTTCTTTATATTTTAAATAAAAGCCTACCACTTCTAAATTTCTTTATAAAAAACAAACAAGTACATAAACACGAATTTAAAACTAATTTATTTATAAAAAAAATAAAAAAATCACCACGTCTAGTTTATGTATACCTAAATGGAGATAGGAAGAAACAACTTGATCATATAAAAGCAACTTGAATGAAAAGAAAGATGAATAATTGATACCAAAAAACCATCACAAAACATACTTCATATAGTTTACATGTTGAAATCAAGGTAATCACTCTTACCCGTTTATTATTGAAAAGTGCAAAAATAAAGATTGTCTTCTTTTAGGACACACTACATTGAAACATAACATTGAAGTCTGTGATTTGGTGACTATTGCTGAGCATGCTGTGAATTGCAACATGTGTTTTAAGTCTAGTCCCATTGGTCATTGTCAGGGAAGATAAGGTTAGACATATTAAAAGTTGTCTTTCCATCAGGTTCAACAACATCATAAGGTGAATCTTCTCCAAATTCACTTGGAATTGCCTTCCAATAAAGACTGGGTTCCCAATTTGCTTCTTTAAGTACATCCAATATCTCTTTTGATACAATCTTACTTCCCACATTTGTCAAATGAATTCCATCACTGAGAAATAACCAAAGAAATTGATAAAAATATTGAACCTTGCAATTGGGAGCACATGAAATGAAAGCATATATATCCTTACATGAAGCAAACATCTTGCCAGTTATCAATTTTTTTAATAGCAGACCACAGATCAATGCCCTTGATATTCATCTCACGACACACCTCCATGCATGCTTCTGCATATATTCTACAAGCTTCGTTTGTCCTCTCTACTTGCCCCTGTACACTAATTTCACTCCAACAATTTATTCATCCTTTTAAGCTCATGTCACAATTCTAAAAGAGATACAATAAATAACAAATTTATTACATGTTGTGAAGGATTTGTGCCTCATTGATGGGAGGAGTAGTAAGAAATATTGTTCGAGTCTTGTCAGAAAGGTTCTGTGAATCATTATTAAACTTATCAATATAATAAAGAAAACCTAGTTTTGTGCATTAAGAACTTGATAAAAATTAACAAAGAATGTTTACCTTCACATGCATAGCAATCTTTCTCATATTTTCCTTGTATTCATCTAATGGAACATGAGGACCAATGCCATTTGGATTCGGTATAGTAGAATCATTTCCACCAAAGTACACAATCACCAGTGATGGTTGTTCTATGGCATCCTTTGTTAAAAAATCATGGTAATACCAATGTTATGTAATTAAGGATCCTATAATAATCGCTTTTTGCAGAGTTAAATGTTGAAATATCTTACCCAGATGACAACAATTCAAAGTTTTATTTTATTAAAATAAAGAGAATAATTAATTTTGCGATTAAATTAAAAAAATAAGGTTTCTTTAAAATTTGAAAATATTTTAAAATAGATTCAAGGTATCATGGGTGCAACATTTCAAGCTCATCTTACCTTTAACGTTTATATTTGGACGTTTATATTGAGGTATATTTATTTAAACTTTTCATATAAAAGAAATGGATAGAGGAATTTCACATTTATTTATGAAGTAGGGTAAGAAAATTGATTTGGAAAAAAAAGTTGAAAATCTTTTTGAACACAAGAATTTAGCACTCAGATTACGAACATATATACCTTGGGAAAAATTGTATCCAAAACCTCCAAAGCACGCCTTGAATTCCAAGCAGCATATCCTCTCAAGATTATATCAGCCTTTGTCATGCACAAATTAAATTATATAATGTATTATTATAAGTGTAAATTCATTAAATTATATTGTTATCATAGATGTAAGCTTTTCAATAATTCTGATGCAACTTTTCTAATTTATAAAAATAAGTAAAGTTTTAAGAATCGTAAGAAATAGATACGTTGTCTTTTGTAAGTATCATTTTAAAAAACAAATTGTAATTTTAATATTGACTTCTTATTTTATTTTGTGAAGAAGTTGTGATTTCTTTTTTAAATGGAAGAATGCTTTTTTAGTTGGGTTTTTGTTTCAAACCATCAAATATTGATGTGTCATATGTCATTGTTAACTAATTAATGGTTGATGATATTGAATGTTAATTGTGAAATGGTATTTTCTTAGTCTATTTTTTTACATCACGATGTACTTGTTTTAAAGCAGAACATTAATTTGAAGAGTAATAATAGAAGAAAAAGGTAATATACCTTACGAGCATAGACATGAGAAAGAGTAGCTCCCCAACCTTCATAATAGCTATACTGAACTATGGAAGATCCAAACAACACAAACTGTGGTCTCGACGGTCCTACCATATCTTTCTTTCTCTTTCGCTTTCTCAACCACGAAACACAAAAACCAAAGCAATTTCTTTCGCAATTTATGCACTTCGTAGTTACCCACGTTTTCGGGTTTTATATTATATTTATATATAAAATTTCATCCAAAACCAAAACCATGTTAGTTATGAATGGGAGCCAGCTCAGATTTAAATTAATATCCATTGCAACAGTTACCATATAGGATTTTAAAAAGGAGTAGATTCAATATTTTCCTTTCTTGACCAAAGAAAAAACATTATTCAAAATTTTGAACTTTTCTTTCAAAACTAGTTCAACGCCATACATTGCTTTAAAATTTGTAACAAAAAGTAATGAAATAAGTTGTTTTCTTGAATTTGAAAATGTGCAATTTGTCATTTTCTTAACTTCAAACGTGCTGTTTTTTTTTACATGAATAAACAAAGACTGATTTTGATTATATATGATCGATTATAACAACTGACTGTATATACGTAGATTAAATTAGTTGACCTAGTTTAATGTCTTAGAATTCATTTACGTAACTACGTGTTCCTGATCACATAATAGTTTGAAAACCAAAAATAAAAAATAAAAAAAATCAAGACCCTTCATTATTCTTGGTTGAGAAACTGTTCCTACTTCACAAAAACAGAGCTGATTACGATATTTTGTCACAAGTGAGTCGATTGCGCAAGTTTTGAAGTTTGACAATTCGTAATATCTTGTCAGTTTTCACACAGTGAAGGTATCTTATTTATCTGTATAAAACTACAAACTAAAATATATATTATCTGAGTCATGACAACCTAACTTACTAATTGTAGACGATAAATTAAATTATTTATTTATTTAATTTGTAACTATATTTGTTTAGGTAGGTATTCTAACATTGTTAATCTTAGTTGTATTTTTTAATGAGGTGTCTCCAACCTTAACATTTTATATTTAATAATTATCTGTAATTGGTGGAGTGTTTTTGACTCATTCGATTTAATATTTTATTATTATTTAATATGTATCTTTATTTTTTTTCAAATCTAAATACATTATTGTTTTTCTTTGGTTCTACATAATTTTTTTTCTTCTAATAAATTTTCTTAATTTTATGTTATCATATACAAAATAATAATAAAAATTTGGTGAAATTATAGTTGGATGTTTAACTTTACATTTTTCAACAGGTATATATATATATATTATTCAGGATAAAATAATATTGTGTTATTTATGACAAAATTCATTTATCCTAATTATAACTATAAAATTAAATAATTTTTTTAATATAAAATAAAATAGAATTTATTAATGCAAGAATGATATATAAAAATATAAGTAAATTTATTATTTTGTTTTTAATATTATATTATTTTACATATATTTGTTCTTACCTTATTTTATTTCTTTTGTATAAAAAAAATGAGAATATCAACTTTAAATTGGAAAAGTGTTAATTAATTTTATTCAAATTCATTCTATGATTATTACATAAGTTTTACAAGGACAAAACACAGTCCAAAGCTAAGAATATAGACAATTTAAATTCTTCTTAAAAGGTGTTTTAAAGGATGGAAGAAGAAAATAGTATATAAAATGTCTTTGACCTTGATTTTTACACCGATGTGTGATTATTGGACGTGATAGAAACATAAACCCTAGTTTAAGTCTAAAAGGAATTACTCTTCATCTTAATTGAGGACTTAAGGAACTTATGATTCATCTTAGAACTTCATTATTGGTTTCATAATGAATGTTAATGTTCTTATCTCATATTCATCAAATCAGATCGTTAAAATCAATCATTACTCATTTGAGATATTATCTCTTTTGAAATGTATACTTCACCGTGATTTTGTATTAAAAGAAGCTTTGAAAGATAAAAAGTAAAAAAAAAATAACTAATCTACCTTTTGACATAAATTCCTAAACATTATGAAACTATTAAATCGAACATTAATCAAATCAAAACTGGATCATAAACTAACTCTATCTCGAAAACTTACACAACCCTTATCACATTTCAAAATTTCCTTTTGGACATAGTTTCAATTTCACCGTTACAAAATTTTGGCTAATAGTACTTTTTCAATCAACACCACACCAATATTAACATGTATTCAATCCAACAAACAAATTCAACGTTTCCATTTTTCACATATCTTTTAACTCAAAATCAACTTAACTGGTTAAATAAATATTTCTTACCGTAATTCACGTACCTTGTCAATAATTACTCACAAACTTAAAAAAGTATAAAAAGTTTTACTTCCTCTTAAGAAGCCTGATTAAAAAATTCAATACATCACTATAGGCTAAGATTAACATCATTTAATCTCAATCTGTATGAGAAAATCCGTGTGAACTTCGAACAAAAACTTTTCATTTAAGCACGATTCTTATTTCCTGTTATTATGTGATTACAACATTACAAAGAAATTTAAAATACATTTATTCGTTTCAACATTGTAAAAAGGCCATATGTTGCATATGAAGTGGAAAGACAAGGCACAACATAACCACCAACTAATTCAACACTCAAAAAGCTTCTGACCAACAGACACACCTAATATATACATCTTAAATTACGCTATCAAAAGGTGACAGTATTTTAAATCTTCCATAAAAACAAGTATACGAAATAAGCAAAAAATATTGAGTCCAATATAAGAAATAAAGGATTTCAAATAATCACCTCAGTTTCATCGTCCTTTTGTTATTTGAAACACATACGATTACTTAGTGACTGAAACGATCCTTTCTTCGAAGTGGATGAATCAGATATAAAATACAGTGAGAAGAAAAAGAATATGTAGTCACCAATTTCACAGGTGAAATTACATACACAAACAAACAAAATGAATTCATGGAGTTGGAGATACCATTTGGAATCTACACCTGAATGAAAACAAATTACAAAATTATGAGCGTTGGAAGTTATACATTGACTAGAGATAAGATCACTTTAGAATATATAGGTGAAAACCTTCCTTTATAAATATGTTTTGTGAGATTGAGTTAGATCAAAGTTCACTCCTTCATATGATATCTGAGTCATTATTTATAATCTATCATAACGAGATTTATTGTTTATTTGTTTGTATTACCCACTATCGGAATATTTGTTTTTTGTTAAGCATATTATTTCACCCGCTATCGGTTAGGAACAAGACAATAAAAGAGGAAAGAGCGAAATAAACGACATAATAATTTATCGTGGTTCAACATACAAATGCCTACGTCCACCACTATATTAGGAAGTATATTTTATATTTTGGTGTATCTTTCAAGCTTTACATAGGTTGCTTATATAGTTAAATAGAGAACTAAGCGATGTGAGACTAAATTAAGCTCCACAATACTAACAATTCTCTCATTTGGAGCTTGATTTAAATTATTACCTAATGGAGTTGCTTTCATCATCAATTTCTTGAACGCAACTTGAGGCAATACAAAGCCTCAACTTATTTGTTGTGACAGTTTTGGTCAACATATTAGTTGGATTCTCTGCACCCGAAATCTTTAACAAAGACATGCCTCCATCATTTATCAAGTTTCTCATAAAATGATACTTCATATCAGTGTGCTTGCATCTAGAGTGAAGAACTGGATTTTTAGCAAGATATATACCACTTTGACTATCACTGAACAACGGAGGGTCATCTTGCTCTTTTCCTATTTCTTTTAGAAGTTTCTTCAACCATATAATCTCCTTCGCTACTTCTGAGAAACCTACATATTGAACTTCAGTGGTTGAGAGAGACTCTTCCTTGAAGTTTAGACTTCCAACTAATAGTTGTATCACCTAAAGTAAAAATGTAACTTGTTGTGCTCTTTCTACCATCTAGATCTCCTCCCGAGTCTGCATCAGATAACCATTTTAATGTGAGATTGCTTCTTCTAAAAGATAAATGCATCTCTAAAGTACCCCTCAAATATCTCAATACCTACTTCACACCTTCTCAATGCTTCTTTATGGGATTTGATAGAAACCTACTCACAACTCTCACTGCATGTGCTATGTCAGGTTTGGTGCAAACCATAACATACATCAAGCTCCCTACTATAGATGCATATGAAACTTTAGACATGTAAGATTCTTCTTCATCTATTTTGAGAACATTTTCCTTTTGAAAACTTTAAGTGAGTTTTGAAAGGTGTATTATTGATTTTACCATTTCCAAAATTGAATATATTAAGCAACTTTTTTTATAAATTTCTCTTGAGATAAGTTCAAAATACCTTCAGATTTATCCCTAGAGATTCTCATACCAAGAATTTGTTTGACTAGGCCAAGATCTTTCATTTCAAAATTTTCTAATAATTGTTTCTTCAACTTGTTAATTTTTGTCATATTAGCTCCTACAATTAACATGTCATCAACATATAAAGCAAGGATGATTTAACCGTAAACATATTTTTTTCACATAATAATACTGATCTTCTTCACATCTATGAAAACTTGAGTTTCTCATAAACTCGTTAAACTTCTTATACCATTGTCTCGATGCTTGTTTCAATCCATACAAGCTTTTATGAAGATGGCATACAAGATTCTCTTTGGCTTCTGCTTCAAAACCTTCTGGTTGTGCCATAAAGATTTCTTCCTCAAGATCCCTATGTTGGAATGAAGTTTTGACATCTAACTTCTCTTGATGAATATTTTCTGGAGTTATTATACTCAAGATAACTCTGATGGTAGTCATCTTGATAATATAGGAGAAAATTTTTGTGAAGTCAATACAATTTTTTTGTTTGAACCCTTTCACTGTGAGTCTAACCTTATATCTTTTGTTACCATCTAGTTCTTCTTTTAAGCTATAGACCCGTCTGTTTTACAAAACCTTCTTTCCTTCTTGTAGCTTGGTAAAGACCATGTTTTAGTCTTCTAAAGAGACTTTATCTCATCTTTCATTGCTAGCTCTAACTTAACATATTCATCTCCTTGCATAGCCTCAGAAAAATGCTCTAGCTCACCAACATCAGTTAATAACAAGTAGTGTAACGAGGGAGAATACCTTTGTGGTGCTACAATTGTTCTACTAGATCTTCTTATGTGAACCAC